TAGGGTCAAGTTTGGGCATTGGGCTTTTAGAATCTCCTCTGATAGTACTAATGTGTAAACAAGTTTGAGACCTGCTGGCCTTTAGCAGTCTGAGACTAGAAGAGGAATCAGGATTGAGTAACACAAATAATCAGTAACACAAATAATCAGTCAAGAGAAGGACAAACCTATCTAGGAGACTATTAAAAAGTGGCTGGGGAGGTAGGTAGGAAACTAAGTGTGGTGTCATAGAAGTGAGAGAGAGTTGCCAGGGCAGTCTGTGGCTGCTGAGAATCCAGTTAGTTCAATGGAATTTGGGTTTAGCAACATGAACATCATTTACTAGTAGATCTGTTAGTAGGAGTCTTGGAACAGAAGGTGGTTGGAGTGAGTTGAAAAAAAGTGAGAAGAAATGGAGACAGCTAGCATAGGTAACTTGTAAACTTGCTGGGGGAGAGACTGAAGCTTAAGAGGTGTGCCATTAGATTAAGATATTTTGGGCTTCACAAAACAAACTGAGGCAAATGGAGTAAATGGTGAAGAAAACAATCTCATTCACAAGTTCAGAAAGAAGGTTGTTTTAAGATTATTGAATAGTGTATTTAGAGACCTGTTTTCTTCCAGCCTTAGAGTGTCACTTGGTCAGCGGGCTGTCCTTTCAGGATGGCAGAGTGGCCATTGTGGCTCAGACATCAAACCAGATAATGGTTTCCAACAGAAAATAAAAAGAGGTTTTTTTTGTAGGTGTTTTTTTTTTTAAGATCTTAATACATGTTTTCAGAGACCAAACAATTGAAAACACCCACATCACAGACCCAGTACCTAAGAAGTCCCCCTTGTCTCTCCTTCCAGTCACTACCCAAGTCCTTCCCCTGTATTACTACTGTTCTGACTTCCAGAGGTTAGTTTTGCCTGTCTTTGTGCAACTATAAATAAAATTGCATACTATGTGCTCTTCTGTGTTTGGCTTTCAGCATTCTTTTTGAGATCCATATTGTTGCATGTAGTTGTAAAGTGTTCATCTATTGCATGAATATACCATACTTTATCCATTCTATTGTCAATGGGCATTTTGGTAGTTTCTAGTATTTGGATTTTACAGATAGTGTTGTAAATGTATGTATCCATTTTTGTTAAAGTGTATAATCAAGGACTTGAATTGCTGGGACAGAAGATATGCTTGTATTTAGCCTTAATGCATAGTTTTCTATGTGGTTTTATCACTTTATGGTCTTACTAGCAACATGTGAATTTCAGTTCCATGTCCTCACCAGCACTTATCATTTTAAATCTTTCATTTTTGATATTTTGGTGGGAGTATATAGCACTGTAATTTTAATTTGCATTTCTATAATTCAAGTAAGGATATTTAAGTTGAGTATTTTTCCATATGCTTATTGACTATTTGGATATTCTCATGGTATTTTGCTCGATTTTTATTTTTTCCTAGGTTGAAAGTCTTATTCATTTGTGGGAGTTTTTTTGTATTGTTTTGTATTCTGGATGAGTCCTTGGTCAGACATGTGTTGCAGATGTCTTCTCAGTACGTTTTCATTCTTGATGTTTTCACTGAGAAGTTATTAATTTTAATATAGTAGGTTCTATTAATTATTTACTTTATGGTAAGTACTTTTTGTTTGTAGTCTTTGCTTACTCCAAAGCCACCAAGGTGTACTCTATTCCTTCTACAATTTTAACTTTGATAATTAGATCTGCAAGCCTTCTGAATTTGATGTTTGTATTTAATGTGAGGTAGGGTTCAAAATTCATATGAATGTCCAATTGACCCAGAACCATTTCTTAAAAAAAGCATTATTTTCTCCAAGCACTGCAGTGTCACTTTGTCATAAATCAGGTGATTGTGTCAAATCCATTCCTGGTTTTTCTCTTGTTTTCTGTTGGTTAAGTTGTCTTACATACTTTTTAATTTTTTTTTTGTATATAGCCTTTTACTAGGAATTGATATCTGGTGGTATGATACCTAGTTTGGGTCTTCTTTATAATCTCTTTTTAAGAATAATGAATTAATATGTGTGAATACAAAATGATAAACCAGTCATTTTTAAACCAGATAAATAGGGGAGTAGTAAAAAGAGAAAGCAGGCAAATCAATGAGTTAGACCCCCTGAGAAGATAGTAGGAAATAGTTTGACCAGTAAGAGTTGGATGCCCTCACAAGTGGATTTAGGAGTTTGACAGTTCTGAGTGATGCTATGTTTTGCCAAAGGGGTGTGATGGTAGGTGACTGAGTTGAGGTATGGGAGGTTGTTCAAGGTAAGCCAGGCAACTGAGAGACTGAGTATGCATATACTGATGTTTACATTTTCTAACTTAGCATCTACCTCAAAACAGCTAGAAAAGAAAGAATTATTATCTTCATTTTACAGTTGAGAAGTTGGGTTCAGGGATATTAATGACTTCTTTAAAGCCCCAGGAGAATTAGCAGTTGAATTGGACTTAACTTAGGCCTTCTGTCCAGGAATGCATGCTCTGTTTATATAGCTTAGCTAACAAGACCTAGGAGTTAAAATTTTGCCTATCAGAAGTCTTATTATTGAAAGGCAAAATTATTGCATGCAAATATACAAATTTTTAGTTATGCATAGGTAAGATGTTAATACGATATATGGAGGAAATACTCCAGAAATTCTGAAAATACTTATTCCTGGGTTGTTGTGATTGTGACTCTGGGTGACGTTTCCCCTTTGTTTTACTTTTCTGTATTTTCCAAATTTCCTATAATGGACGTATATTTTCTGGATTTAAAAAAAATATTACTTGAATAAATGATATACATGGAAAATTCATTACATAAAAATAGATAGCAATATAGAGTACTTTTACAAAAATAAAAGAATGCAGATGTTTAAATATTTTATTTTTTCTTTTTGTGTTTAGAAATGCACTCGGTGATGGAAAGAGAGCCATTATTCTGAAGAGCACTTGGCCAAAGGTAGGTTTCTTTTGTATTTTTACATTGAGTCAGTAATACTATATATTTTTGTGAAAATTAATATATGGGATGTGTATTTATATATAAAAGTGCTGGATGAAATTATCAAGAATAGAAAAGAGAATGCTTCAGTTCCACTACCACTATGGGGATTTGGCAGTAGCTATGAGAGGCTGAGAATGTGTGTGTGCCAGCATGAGATGTCCTGGAGAGCATAGAGGAACTGTAGCAGTTGAAAGGTAATATCTGCAAGTGATAGGTGTGCCTAAATGTGAAAAATGAAACTTTAAAACTTTTAAGGAACTATAGGAAAGCATTTATCCTTCCTTTTTTTGGTGCCAGGAGTGGAACCCAGGGCCTTCCTCATGCTAGTATATAATCTACCACTGAGCTGCACCCAAGCCTTTGGATTTCTTAAGTAACACACAATGTATAAATCAGCGTGAAATAAAACACATTGATATAATTTTCTACATCATACTTAAAAACTTATATACATAAAAGATATGAATGAAATAAGCAGGAGGAGATCATTTGTTCATCAATAATTTATATAACTAATAGGATTTATATATAATTGATAGGATTGTATTGCAAATATGCAGAGAACTCCTAGAATAAATAAAAACCCAGTAGAAAAAGGGCCAGTGAAACAAATAATTTCATACAGGAAACCCTGATTGGGAAATAAGAAATAAGAAACTTGAAAATCTGTTTCCTAGTAATTAGACTTGTGGGAGATTGGTACAAAGATAGAAAAATAAAACCAACAGAGAAAAATAGAGGGCCTCTAAGAGAAAGACCCACCTATAGATGAGTAAATAAAGCAATGCAATAGTGTTGGGATCCTTCACATTGGCAATTTTTTTAATGTAAATTTTTTTATTGATTGTTTCAAACATTACAGAGCTCTTGATAAATCATCTTTCATACTTTTGACTCCATTGGGTTTTGAACTCCCATTTCTACCCCAAATACAGATAGCAGAATCACATCTGTTACAAAAATTAAAGAGACTGAGGGTCCAGAGTATTGGTACTGAGTGTGTAGTAACAGGAACCCTCTATAAACTGATGGAGGTGTGAATTGCTTACAACCAACTTGGAGAGCACCCGATGTGCAAACCTCATAATTACTTGATTTTACACTAACAAGTACTCCATTTCACATATGTCAAACTAGAAAATTTCTTACATAATATATAGTGTCATCATTGTGGCCTAGTTTTAATTGCATCAAGTCTCAAATACTTAAATGTCTATTGATAAAGCAATGGATAAGTTGGTATTTTTACTTGATCAAAGTTATTACTCTTATCTGCTTAATCTGTTCCCATCTTGAACACCCTTCATTCTTCAAACCTCATTCCTGCTACTCTCTCTGAATTGGCCCCTGGGCTCCTCACTGTTGCTCCCATCAGGCCAGGCCCATTTCATTCTGTTTTTGCTCTTTCCTCTGCCTCAGACACTTTCCCCCTAGAACATAGCTAGCTCCCTTATTTCCTTTCATTCTTTATAGAACATACTTTTCTCAATGAAACCTTCCCTGGCCATCTTATTAAAATGCAAACCCTGCTCCTTTGAGACATTTCCTACCTTCTTTCCCTTTTTTCCTCTTAGCATTTGGCATATTATTGAAAATATTGTTACACTATTCAATATTGTTACATTATTTATTTATATTGTTTATTGTGACTTCCAGTGTAATGTGGGCTTTACAGGGAAAGGCTTTTTCGTCTGTTTAGTTTGCTCTTAAATCTGGACTGTCTGACAAGTTTCCTGGTTCATAGCAGGCACTCAGGAGTAGTATTTGTTGACTTAGTAAATGAGTAGTTGAATATTAGATTGTAGTTGACTGGCATATCAATATTTATGGATTTGAAAAACAACATGAAATGAAAAAATAAATAAAAGCCCAATACCCATGATAATGTTTGCATTTGAACAGTCAGGGAGGGAAAGGAGATTGAAGAGATTCCAAAGTAGCCATATTGATATCATTGCCTTTCTCTTATTAAAAGAGAATTTGGCCAGGTACAGTGGTGCACGCCTGTAATCTCAGCAGCTCAGGACACTGAGATAGGAGGATCGTGAGTTCTAAGCCAACCTCAGCAAAAGTGAGGTGCTAGGCAACTCAGTGAGACCTTGTTTCTAAATAAAATACAAAATAGCGCTGGGATGTGGCTTAGTGATTGAGTGTCCCTGAGTTCACTCCCCAGTACCAACAACAACAACAAAAAGAGAATCTGAGCAAATATAACAAAATGTTATAATGTTATAAATGTTATAAAAACAAAATTCTGGGTGTTTACTACATTATTCTCTGTATTTTTCCAACTTGTAAAAATATTCAAAAAGTTTTTCAAAGTAAAGATTCAAATAATACACACAAAGGCACATGCCTTTCATACTGTATTCCTGATTTTACATAATTCAAAAAAATTACAGTGAGTAAGGCCTTAGAGAATTACTCTCATTCATACTTCCATTACTGCTTTACAGATAGACTTCATTAAATTCTTTGCAGGACTTAATTTTATTTTGTTTAGTGTTGTTAAAATTATATTTTTTCTTTATATTCTAATTTGCTATGATAAAAAAAGACAAAGTACAGAAGGTTGTGAAGTAAAAGGGAAGACTCAGCCTGGGAACCTTTTAAAGATGTTCTTACCCTCCCCTAAAGTTACAATTTAGGCAGCCTAGGAGTGTATCTAGTGGTCTGGAGATGGTGAAGTGTTCCAGGTGGACTTCTACATCTAAGTTTTTAAGTAATTTTTTAAATGTCTAATTTTATGCATCAAGAAATTGAGTTCAACATATGTGAAGTGACTTTTCAAGGTGTCATTGCAAGTGAAGGATGAAATTGAATGGCACTTGCATTAGAGGGTGATAAATTTGTTGGTATTTCCATTATGAGTCATTCTTTTGCTTGAAACAGTATCTTTGCTGATGACTACACCTTGCATTTTGTGGGTACTCTATAAATATTTGTAGAACAAATGAATTGATAATGTTCTGAATACTGAAACCCAGTCTAT